GCGTTTTTCGAGCGTCGCAACCTCAAGAAGTTTTTGTTTTTTTCGTGTGCTTTCTTTCAGTGGGAGCGGTCGTTTTCCGCTAAATAGGATGAACGCGGGCCACATGATCGACTACGAGGCTCTGCATTCATGAGCGTTAATACCTCCTTTGCCCCGCCCCTTTGCCCCACTCGAAAGTTGCCCTAACCTCATTCGGGAAAAGCCTCCTGCCGCTCTCTTGCTTGTCGCGAAGCCTCCCCCTGCTCCTCACCCTGCTAGGCCGCTTCCTCGCTTGGGTGTGGAGCCCTGATTTCTCATCTTCCACCGTCACTCGGGTGTGGAGTCCTAATCGAAGCCACTGCTCCTAATCGTTATGTCTCCTCCCAATTTTTTCTTCATATTTTGTTATTGTAGTTCGTGGCTTCGTATCCGGTGGAGTCGTTCTTGTTGTTTTTCATTGTTTCCATATCCATTGCCCTGCCTTCAATTTTATTCGGGACTGCTTATACAGGCAAGATAAGTCTTAAGGGCTATTGATTTATAATAGAAAAAGATTGATTTTCAATTTTTCTAAACAATCACCTATGGTTAATCTTACATCTCAGTTCTTGAATATTATTTAATTCATGTTATCACCATTTTTGCAATCTTTCTGTATATTAATCCTTAGTTCTTATCAAATTCTTAACTGTATATATATATATATATATATATATATATACATGTTTGCAAGATATACGGTTAAAGTTCTTAACTTTAATATATATCTACTTCAGGGCTATATATAGAAACTTTTTGTTTGGTAACAACTTGAATGAATTCACTTGCAAAGATGATTGAAAATCTGATTAGAAAGATGAATGAAATATTGAAATTCGAGGGGTTAGAAGAAAAATGAAGTTTTGAAGCTCCTTAATACCCAAGCATTTGTTAATGTAGAGAACCCCGATGATTATAAAAACTTAAGATGCATTGCAGGACATATGGTTATAAACTTATTACGATCTTCATTGGTAGCAAATGTCGTCAGTCATGGTATGAATTATGACTTTGATGCAAGCTATAGAGTTAAGATACTAAAGATGATATTATAAGCCTAGAACAAAAACTTGGTTGGAATAACTTATTTCCCATATTAAGATCGAGTACACATTCCTCTCAGAATCTCTTAAATATTGATTAACATTTTATTACAAACTCTCACGGGATTGATTTGATAAACATGATCTTATTTGATTGGATTTGATAGTCGTTGAAGGATATTGTAATCTGTTGGGGTATCTTGGATGGCCCATTGATATGCACGCGACCTCCGCAGTTGTGTCATGGTGACTGAAAAAAAGGGTGTATCATCTACTAGACGGGATGGATCGAAGGTGAATCTTAGCATTCGACCCTCTATTTTCTATCCTCCCTTTTTTTTTGTTTCTTGAAATTAAACTGTGTTGAATGGCAATTATGATAATTTCTCTTCCATCATGTTTTGAATGATACTGCAGCTGGGAATAATAGAGATGAAATCAGAAAGGAGAATTTACAAATATACAACACAATTCTTATGCATTTCCATTAATGGTCTTACTGCAGCTGGGATTGATATTTCTTTCATGTTCTTCGAAAGCTTGAGCAAAAATTGTTGATTTTGGGTTGTGTGAATAAATCTGTACCATGTAATCAGGAACTCTAGTGGAAGTTGTGCCCTTCACGTTTATGGTTTTATCTTCAGAAATATTCTTATGGAATTGTAACTTGAAAGATTGCGAGTGAAACATTGCAATTTGTAGAACATAAACTTTCCTGCCAATTCATTTGAAAAATTTTGCTAAATTTTGAATGAATGTTGGCCTATTTGCTTTCAGATTGGCCTATTTGCTTTCAGATTGATTATTTGCTTTGAGAACGCATCCTTTTTTGGTCTATTATTGAATGTTTTAGATAAAAGAACAATTTTGTTGGTTCCTGGTTATCAAGTTCTGCTCCTGCTTATTCGAATGACCATTGGTTGCTTTTGGATGCAGGTAATCTACTGTAATTTATCTTCACTTTAATATCATGTTGATGTAAATCATCTTCCATGAATCTGAAAGAATGAATTTAAGTGCTTCCTTCGGAGATCCACCTCTCTGATGTAGCGAACCTGTTCTTGGATGTTCTATTGGATGAAATTAAGATGAATTTGAGCTTTCGATTGTCCAATTCCGAAGTTGAGGTCTGTTTTGTTTTGTTTTTTTTTTTTTTGTTTTTATCATACAGCTGTTATATGTTCTTCATATTGATGCCAATGGATGATGATTGAGACCTGAATTCATTTCTCTGTTTGAAGGCATGAGCAATGCTTCACTCTCCAAAGACAAGTCATGAGTTCAAGGGGTTGTTTCAGTGCAACGCTTCAAATAAAACTCATTTGTTGGATAAAATTGTGTTTGTCATATTCATCTAAAGGATCTGAAATAAAATTAAAATGGGGGAATACATTCAAACCACTTAATTCGTGCATTTAAATAATATTTAAATTAATTAGTTCAGTAATAAGTATTTAAATAATATGTAAATTCCTTAACGAAGAATATATAAATAATTTGAGAACATCAACTAAAAAATATATTTAATACATTTACGCTACCCGATTCAATACATTCCTTTCATGAGGCATGTATTTCATATATTTACCTATCAAATACTTAAATTTTTAACATATATTAATCAATTCCATATATATACATATCCAAGGCTTAAATTTATTTCAAAACAATAATTAATTTCATATATTTACATACCTACCACTTAAATTAACCATACTATATTTATGCTACCCAACTCTTTTCTATGACCTCCAAAATATTATGCAAATTTTCCTAAAAATTAAAGTTTACGTGTTACGTATGTAAGTACATAAGAATCTGTTGCATATGTGTAATTATTAAAAAAAAAAAAAAATTAGCACTTCCGGGGCTCACTGTTAAGTGAGGGGTGTATCCAAACTTTTTTATTATATTTAAAAATGAATTTTCGCTTCTGTAAATTCACAGCTGTTTTCACGCAGCTGCACCAAACAGACAGTGAATTTCTCCGTAACTGTTTCCTCGCAACAATTTTTTGGGGCATCACAAGCTAATCCGTAACTGCTTCCTCGCAACAATTTTTTGGGGCATCACAAGCTAAGAAGCTGCAGCTGCGCCAAACAAAGCCTTATTTAATTTATACTTAAAATACTCTGTAATGCTCCCGTAGAAAAATTGGCAAGCAAGTAATTATACACTTTATACTCCATTGCCAATGAATAGAATAGTTATAATAAAGAATTAATCAATCATACTTTAGAGAATCATTTGTTTAGTGTGCACTCCCTTCCTTTCTCTCTTTCTACAACCATAACAAATGCTATCTTGCAAAGTGGATTTACCTCTTTTTACCCTAATAAGATCCAGCGACCAGCATTAGATCATATTTTTAGTATTTCAAATCAAATCAAATATCTATTAAAAATATTAAAAATTAAAGAATGATAAGGCAGTCAGTGATTAAAATTTCAATCTTCCACACAATTAGGGCTGTCAAAAAAGCTCGTTGTTCGCGAACAGTTTGTGTTCGGTTCGTCAATGAGTGCGTGTTCGATTCGTTCGATAAGTAAACGAGACAAACGCGAACAAATTTTTTTCGTTCGGTTAGTTAAACGAACCAAACACGAACAGTGATGCGTTCGTTCGTGTTCGAATCGTTATTGTTTGAAATATAAAATAATATTAAATAATTATATATAAAAAATTTATTATATTTTAAAACATTAAATTTTATAAATTATAATATATAATAAAATAATAATAATAATATATTAATATACATATAATATTATTTTTATATATTAATATTAGAGATGTCAAACTGAAACGAACACGAGCTTATTTCAAACAAACTAAATTTTAAACGAACCGAACACGAACACAAGCTTTGTTCGTTCGTGTTCGGTTCGTTTACACCCCTACACACAATACCTTCCAAACACAGCTCAGCGCACTAACCACCGGGGAATTATGAGGCCGACGATGCAGAAGGCCGCATGACGAGCTCGCACGATCCGCACGCACGACAATTATATATTTTGTTTCTAGATTGTAAGATTTACGGACATGGCGCTGAAGTCTTCTCTGGGACTTATTTTTAAGCGGCCCGATTTTAAAGAAGATAGACGAGATAACCGGAGGGAGAGAGACGGGAACCAGGAGCTCTTGGTAGCTTGGGGATGGTTCTTTAGGGTTCGGACGGTTATGTTCCAGTCTCTTTTGAGTTTCGATCACAAAGGACCCTGATGTTTTGATTTATCTGGGGCAATCTCATCTTTGCCATTCATGCGATTACGAGGTTTTGCACATTTAATTTGAAGAGGATTCGATTACTTTTTTTTCTTCTTCTTCTGACTATGTGATTAATGTGATGTTATTCTAGGGAGCCGAATTCAATGCATAATTTTAATGTTCATTTGAATGGTTAATAGCAGCCGTTATCGTCATTGGGCTGGCATTTTCTTCTTCTGATGATCTTACGAATGTCAATTTCCTCCCTTCGCCTGAATTGCAGTTTGTTGTTTCTTTCGAGTGTTCATTTCATTGAAAAAGGCAAGCTCTGCATTCGGAGGTCCAATTTAAGATGACATCATTGACTCGTTCTTCCGGGCAGTGTTTTTGTGGTTCAGTTGGGTGGGTTAGATCACTATAGGCTTTCCGATTCTTCCTTTCTATCATTGACTCGTTCTTCCAGGCAGTGTTTTTGTGGTTCAGTTGGGTGGGTCGGTTAGATCACTATAGGCTTTCCGATTCTTCCTTTCTCGTTTCTTTTGGCAAGCTATTTGTTTTAGAGAAATGGGATACAAGCCTCACATATAGGATCGTAGCCCCTTAAGCCCTACTCTAACACCTGGATTGTGGTTTTTCGAAGGCAGCTTTAAGAATGCCGATATAATCAAAGTCCTCGAGGATTTATCAACGGAGTCCGAAAGCGAGGTTGCTCATCTTCCTCTTCATCTTCTTTACCGCAAAGTAATCGGTTAAAGAGGGCAATTCGAATTAGGAAAAAGGGTGCGTCCACCTCAACTGTTCCTATGTGGAGGATGAATGTTAGATCACCATCATCTTCGGGAAGGATTTCAGACTCATCATGTTGCCCAATGTCCGGTTATGGTTGCAGTGGAACTCAAGCTCCTGTCTCAGCTCGGAAGCTTGCAAATGCCTTATGGGAAATGAGTAGAAACTCTTCATCACTAGAATTGGAAAAATTACAAGGGAAAATTGCTAAATGGGAGAAGAGTCGGGATTACAATTTGAGGAGACCTATTGAGGTCATTTCTCAACCTCAACGGCCATCTAATGAAGGTCACTGTCCGGTTTTGTTGGTGAGTATATGGATATTAAATTTATTGCTAAGTATATTTTCATTATAGTGAAATTATCAGTTGTGAGCTTTCTGTGCTTATTGTGATCTGTTGATCTTAATTCAGAAGTCAGAAAAAGCTTGGTGCAGTAGCCATAGGAGACGGATCTTGAAGAAATCAGGGCTTGAAGGGCTGAGTGACAGAACCTTAGATTGTTTTAGTTGTGGTAGTTTAATGGAGGTATGAAGCCTTAATAGTTTTCATAACCATTGCTATGCATTAATAAGTATTCCACCAGGTATTATTATGGAATACTAATTTAGATTTGAATAACATCTCCATTTGGATGTGTGGCCACCTATTTTGCAATTATAATCTTTGGGCTTCATACAGGGGCTTGGTATGCTAGCTTGAACGTCATTTTGAGATCACCTGTGCGTTAGTTTAATGTTTTGGTTGAATCTAATTCATTGGCAATATCATAAGGTTTGTTTCATTCAAAGATGGTTTTAAATTGTTCCAAAATTTAAGTTTTGACTGGTTTTGGCCATTTCTCCTATTATATGCTGAAAATCATTGTGTTAGTAGTTCATGTGTTTGATAGGTGAATTTCAGGTGTGTCCAAACTGTTGCAGGTCAAGAACATCCTGCTCGGCTGTTTATGGTTCTTTGTTGGCCATTATGCATATGTGTTCACTATGAGCTTTGGTAGGGTGAACATGCTTTTTAGTAAAATTTTCACTTAAACATGCAATATTATTTAATAGAGTGATGCACTTTTATTAGTGACCTTCTATTTATACTTCATTAAATCTATCAATGAATATGGTTGAAACTAAAGATCAAACCAAAGGATACAATTTCTTACACTCCCAACCCCTCTTATAATAGAACTCTATGAATGAGTATTTTCAAAACCTAGTTTTAAACTATTCCATACTCCTAGTTTTCTAATATTTTTCAATGATGCATCCTTTGTATTTCTAGTCATACTCAATCTACTTAAGTTGATGAAAAGTTGAAATCTCGAGCCCGATCTGTGTCAAAGGGAATAATGACAAAAAAAAGCTTTTGATTAATCAATAAATGATTAATACCCGATTAATACATTTACTAGCTATTTCAAATTAATCAAAGGTACCAACATAATTCCTTTTCCCATTAACAAGAAATAAAAGGATCACCTGTATAACTAAAGGGCATAATTAATAGCGTAAATTACTTCATAGGCACTTCAGTTTAGGTCACTTTACAAATAGGTCATTAGTTTGATGATTTTTTTATGGCCCAATAACATTGAACCCTTTAATTCAAGTTCCTAAGGATATTATCCCGTTGCAATTTGATGGGTTTGAAATTTAGCACTTCATTTATGTGTGCTTTTACTATCTTTTGCCATTAGAGGTTCATCTTTCAATGCTTTAAATGACTTCCAATGAGTCGATACAAATAATTTATTCTGGATGTAGCTATCCTTGAGTTTGTTCTACCTACATCTAGGTTCATTAGAGAGAGAGAGAGAGAGAGAGAGGGTAATTAAAATTCTAATTCTTGATTGAATTTAATTCAAAATTGATTTGATTTTTGGTCACTTGTATGAAATCATTAGATTTCAAGTCAAACTTGAAGTTGATTTTAAAGGTCTGTTTGGGGCAGCTGTAGCTGTTTAAAAAAATTGTTGTGCAACAGTTGTGGGAGAAAGCTACTATGAAAAAATTGTGTGTATGTTTCTATTGAACAATTGTAGAATATCTGTGCAACAGCTGTTTAAAAAATATATATTTTTTCCCATGTATTATTGTATTGACCGTAAAATAACCATTTCACATTAAATAAATCATACATAAAAATGACATTTCACTTAATACTGAATAACACAATAATTAAAATAAAAAATAAAAATATTAAAACAATAACTAACATTATCAAAATATTATTTTTTGAAATATATACGATCAATCCTACAAGGTAATTTTTTTTTTTCTAAAGATGCTCTTCATGTCTGATCATTATCTGATGTGTGACCATCAAATTAATCAATCCACCTAAGGAAGTCATAACCTTTTGATGATCTATTCATTTAACATCAGTAAATTTTTTTCTCATAATTATTTACTCTTCATGATGTAAGTAGAGAAAACTTTAATCCACAGTTGCAGTACAAGACTCTGGAAGCACCAGAGGTCTTCGAGTTCATATCTTTTGAAAATTGAAAACCACAAACCTCGCCTTAATAGTATATCGATATAATTATATGAAAAAATAACTAATATAAATTACAATAATACGTAGATAGAGATTTTAAAAAATATGAAGTCTCAGAGAAAAGGTAAACTAATGAATAATCTGTCATTATAAAAATACTGAAGAAATTAAAGAAAGAGGAACTTGGTTTCCATTTGATCAATTAATAGTGAACTCGTATATGTCAGCAGCGTAAATGCACAAAGGCCCTCCAGAAGAACCCCAACCATCTTATGATTAAAAAGATCTTAGTTGTCTTCATGTCGGTCACATATGTCAAAAGTCATAACAATATACCTCTAATGTCATTTATCTCATCATAGATCTCCAAATAAAAAACATGTAACAAATAACTTATATTACAACCACAATTGCATAGGAGGCCATCAATGTGGGATAAAAAACATGCTAAAGTAATGAGAAAACTATTGCAACAAATATAGATTCCTCATGAATATCATTGCGTAAGAGTCATTACAATAGACATTAACCGTTTTCACAATATATTGAACATAAGTAAAGAAAAAATAATAGATAACATCGTTAAATATTACATTTGTAATTTGCTCTCGCAATTCAATCATCTCCCTCGAATCTTCCCCATCATGTGTACAAAACTCAATTAAATCACAATTAATTTATGATATGAACTGCCTTAAGTGATATTTATATGCTTCAGGAGGGACATGTGACCGATTTTAATATTTATTACCGAAATCAATATCATTATGTGAAGGATGCCGACGAATGAAATTATAGAGAATCATTATAGCAACCACAACTTTCACTTGTTTGTTGAACGGATATGTAGGCATATCTCATAGAATGATCTATTTTTTTTAAAAGCCCAAATGTCCTCTTGATAATATCATGTAAAAGTGAATGTAACTTGTTAAACATCTCTTTTCTAGCTTGAACTATATGGTTACCACTTTAAAATCATGAATGTGATGTTTTGTTTCAGAAAATAATTTGAGATACTCTCTTTGTAATGAAAATCCAATATCAACCAAATAATATGTCCTTATTAAAAGCATAATTCTTGTTATTGTAAAGAGAAAATTATTTAATTTTTTTATACTTGAGCAAACCTGTAAGTAATTTGAGAAAATTATATTTATGACTTCGTCAATATCAACCAAATAATATTTCCTATTGTTTTTATTGTAAAGAGAAAATTATTTAATTTTTGTATACTTGAGCAAATTTGTAAGTAATTTGAGAAAATTATATTTATGACTTCGCGTAGCAAATTTTAATGTACGACTATCAGGTGTGCTGTCTTTCAATCTAGCTCTTACAAAATTGAAACATATATTAAAGTTACATCTAGTCATAACATTTTGTGTTGTTGAATCACAATGTTCTGTAAAGCATGTGTGCATCCACCTTTGTTATAGGAATTGCTCCAAGACAATACTAAGACATTTAAATAAAATATTAAAGCTACTAGCTATAAGTAAATTTTGGAAAAGATGAATACAGAAATATACTTTAAAGTATAACCTATGACGTTAACCTTGGAAATCTCAATACTAATATTTTGAAATGTTGGGTCTTCAGTTTTGATATCTTTTGAGGAGAAGCTGGCCCAAACATCAAATTAACTGAAAAATATCTACTACTCGTTTGTAAAAAGTGTTGAAATCGCTCCATGACACTTCTTATAGACTCATTTTATGATAAAATATAGAGTTATGACTAGCACATCACTTGAAGTCATCCTAGAAGAGCCATGAATACTATAATTCTTGTGTGGTTATTCCAACAGATCAATAAATATTGTTTGTCATATGAAACATATTAACATTTGTTTGATGACCCACAAGCAATTTCCTTACCCATTTTTCTCCAATATATGTTGATGTTATGCAAGGAGTGCGAACAATGTATGAGTTTTACTTATACATTAAATATAATGCAACTATAATTATTGATTTGTATCTTTCTCTATCATTATTATTCGTTGTTCTTATTTTAAAAGAAGGAAAACACAATTAAAATAAATCGAACACAATATATCAATCTGAAACTAAAGAAATAAATATAGTTTCAGAAATAAATATCATGAATTATACATTAATAAATTAAAAAAAAGCAACAAAATGATACATTTAACATATATAATCGTTCATAGCAAAACATACATCACTAGTCCATAACAGCATTGATAACACTAACACATGAAAGCACTGATAACACTCATAAATCATGATTTTCATAAAAAAACGCAAGTAGTGAGCCCTGCACTCATATGTCATTGGCATAAAAAATTTTCTCTTCGTTGGATCTTCTAACAACTTCATTGAATACCAATACAGAGGCATGTCTTCATAAATGGCTGCAGTTTTTTTCCAATATTATTTTAACTTGTTTAATAAAATTTTTATGTGACGTGCTAGACTCATTAGTGCATGCAACAACTAATTGTGTACTATGACTTAGTAAGAATACCACACCATCTTTTTTCTTTTTTTCATTCGAAAGCCGCTTTGATTGACTAGATTTAACTTCGTTTATGATTTGATTAAACCCTTCAATTGAGTTCTTTGTTTGCTCAAAATCACGTGCTCATCTATGTTAATGTGCACACTTTCACTCAGAATCCATTCATGATCATTGGTGGCCACGACTCCGCTTAACATTAAGTACAACTTCTCTTCAAGCTCAGAGTCAAATGTCATTAAATTTGAACTTCTTGGCATTTGATATGACCTACAATAAATTGATGGTTAAAATGTTGATATAATTTAAATGACATAAAAAAAAATTGAAATATTTTGAACATTTGATAATATTTTATGTTCAATCTCTCTATTCATCATTCTTCTGAAACATCAATTATTCGTTTTATAAGATCTCAACCTAAACCTATTGCTTCTCGCTCTAACTCTTTTCATAATTTCTACTCATTTTTAAACTGATCTCATTTATTCTTCAGTTGCAATCTATCATATTCTCTTCTTGTTTTTTCTTTAATTTTTTTTGTTATGTTT